AAAAAAAAAAAAAAAGTCAAAATGCAAAGAAAAATGAGCCATTTTTTTGATGGGGTCTTTTTGGATATCTGCTTAGTGTACTCTAATTTTTCTTCTTCAGGAAGGTGGAAGGGTCCAGATTCTGGACAAGGAAGAGATTCAGCGAGTTGTCAGCTCCTGCAATGACTTTGCTGAAGCAGAGAAACGAAGTAAGTGGCTTTTGTAACTTCGGGCTGTTTACTAATGAGTTAAAAAAAAAAACCATATTAAATACTCATAAGTATTTAATATGGTTTCTTAAAGGTCCTTCAGCACATCATGTATAAGGTTGTATGAAATACTGTTTTCGTTCATTTGGGGAATTGATTCCAAGTTATAATGTAAAACACGACTTTGTTGTCATTTTCTTAATCAGAACTTGAAGCAGTTGCAAGAATCAATACAGCCATTCGCCTGGGCAATGCTTTGGAAACAGTGGAGGAGCTGATGAACCCGGAGGCACAGCTGCCAATTGTCTACCAAACTGCTGCCAACCTCTACCAGGCTGAGCTTTTCAGTTTGCAGCTACAAGGGGGACGGGTGAGGCATGTTTCAGACTTTTACTCTGTGCACATGGATGTTGATGGGTATTGATAAGGTCAGATAGATATATATGTGTGTGTGTGTATGTGTATATGTGTGTGTATATATATGTGTATGTGTGTATATATGTGTATATATATACACACATACATACATATACACTCACTCTGCAGGCATCAATTTTCTGATCCAGTATTTTATGTTTTTCAGTCTGGACTGAGCCACGAGGAACTGAGTGTAGCTGTAGAGATGCTGTCAGCTGTAGCAGTGCTGAATGAAGTGCTGGACACCAAAGACCCACAGGCTGTGATTGAGCAGCTAACAGACTCTCCTCTGGGCTTTACCAACATAGACCAAGACAACCTTAACAGGTAAGATAGCTGCAGGATAGATGAGGAAGCAAAAGGAAGTTTTATTGTTTACTCACCTTCCCCCCCAGTGTTCCCATTTTAGTGTATTCATCAACTTTTAAGTCAGGCTGTGGAAACGACACAGAGACCATAAAGAAGATTTATTGTGATTTATTGCAGAATGTTTATACAACATGTTTATGGCAGTTTTTAATATATAACTACTAGGGATGGGTATTGATAAGATTTTCACGATTCCGATTCCATTTTCGATTCTGTTTAACGATTCGATTCTTTATCGATTCTCTTATCAATTCTTTTTAAAAAATGAG